GAAGCTCTCCTCAGTGAGGCTGTGGTAAACATGTGCTCACACCAGTTTCTGTAAAACATTCATGTTATGCATTCAAAATAGCTCACGAGTTCATGAATTCTGCAACTGACTTTTGTTTGTCCTATTAATTATTTGTGAAAAATGACTTTCTATTGATTCTAGATTACAGTCCACAATTCACTGTGTATCATTATTTAATGACTCCAGTTATTGTTAGTTCTTTGCTGAGCTGGATCCAAATGTAGGCAAGCAAGAGAAAATATTGAATTAAAAACAAAAAGGCTGGCAAGCAGAAAAATTCAGTTGATACAAAACTGAAGCTAAAAGCAGAACAAGAGACTGTGTCTCAATTTCAGGAGCTGGATTCTTCAGAGGCTGCAGTTGAAAACCAAATTGTGTCACAGCAGTGTGACTGGATTGTTCTATTTCATAGAACCTGATGGGTGAATCACTTCCTGCCCAACATATCCCAAGATTCATTGTGCTTAAGTGACAAAAAGAGGTAGTTGCGACAACAAGCCACGAAACGTCCAATACTATGAGTATCACACTTCAAGTCAACTGAACAGCTAACAGAACATAATACTGTACGTTAAAAAACATCAAGGGGCATTAAACTGTCCCATTGTGTCAAACTTCAGCTTTGTTGCTGGACAACAGCATTTAGGGAAGGGAAGTTTGATGACTGCAATCACTGAAATCCTCTGTAGACCAGACCGTCTCATTTTGGTCCAGCCTTCGGAGTCTATGAAGGCAGTCTTCGTGGTCGACCGTGTCCCCCGAAGGACACAGTACCTGAATTGAGGATTAAGGACAATGAGAGGCAGGTCTGAAACATTGAGAAACATTGCAAGTGTAGGTGAGGAAAGACATGGAAAAAAAAGAGGAAGTGAAATGACCAATGACACAACACAAGGGATCACAAGGAATTAACTAAAGGCAGAGATGCATAAGAAAGGGTAAATATTACAAATATATACAAAGTATATAATGCAGAATAAACAGAAACAGAAAATATTTCATAAATGTCTGAAACCGACAGAAGGTCAGGAGGGCAGAATCATGTCAGTTATAGTTACTGGTCTCAGCTGGCAGTGAAAGGCAGAGCAGAGGAAAACAAGACTGCAAGGAACAAAGGAGGAGAAATTGTATAATTAGAGAAATGGAGAGATGCATTAAATAACAATGTAGGATAACACTAGGTGTATAGACAGAGCAGCACTAGGAAACAAGCCTGTTCAGTGAGAAACCTTTTAGTCACTATTTTAATTCTTTCATGACACAGTGAGGTGGTTTGTAATGTAATGTGGCTCTTGTCCCCTTTACACCTTTTATCACACAATAAGAAGAGTTGGTCCAAACCTCACTTCTGTTTCACACCTAAAGATACCCAGTGTTTGCAAAATACTTTGTGTAAGACTGTTATGGAGGAGCTGTTGCAGCCAGACACACAGCATGGGGATGGATCGATTGACATAATCTTCCAGACAGTTGCAAGAGGATATGATGTGCAACGAAACATTTGTGGTTTAGCAACTTCTCCGCTTCTATATCATAACTCACATGTGACCTCAGAGGACAAGACTTCCTCTTGTCTCCTTCTCTGCAGCTGTTTGCAGATATGAAACTCTACTTATAACTAAGACAAGCAGAAAAAAAACTGTTGTGAGAACATTCAAAACAAAGATTTGCTGTTTTTTCCATCACTTGTTGCAGCATTCTGAGTGCATGGAGATTATGATTTCTATTTTCCGCTCTCTGCACTCCTTCTTTTGGCCTTTGTTGGATCTCTTTATATAATTAACTTACAAATGTTTCATCTAAATACGTGAAATCCTTTAACAAAGTTTTATTTTATTTTTCTTAAACTGACAAAACCTGTTGGTGTGACTCACACTGCTGTTCAGTCTCATGGAGAGATCCTTAGCGTCTTCCAAAAAAACAGGGGACATTTAAGACGCATCACTTTTTCCCAGGAAACACCTACCAATCAGCAGGTGTCAGGAACAGGGATGAATCTGGGATAAAGCTTCCATGAGGCAGGTTCCTCTCTTTTCGAGCTGCTCCCGCCTCGTGGACCACCTCTCCATTACCGAAAGCTTTTACAACAGAGTGTGTTACTGGGCAGTGACCCAGTGGAGATCTACGGGTTTATCCTCAGTGACAGGTTTCACACGCAGCTTGTGGGCCAAGCCCACAAATAACAGCCAGGCGTCTTGTTTGCCATGATTCTGGGGCCTGTTTCAGATTACTCACTTGCTCTTTGAAGCCATCTGATGGACAAGCAGGGTTTTCCCCTGCATCTCTGCCAGAAAAAGATTGGGTCATCCAAAGCTCTGCCACCCACCCCGCATATCGTGAATGACCTCTGTATAAGAAGTGTGCTTACTTAGGCATCCGATCAGAGAGGTTGTAACAAAAGGTCTAGTGTGAGGTATTTCCTGATTTCACAGTAAAGTCTCTGCTGAAACACAAGCCGCAGTGTGTTGTTCTTAGGAAAACTGATGTCACCCTGAACCATTGTTGCATCAAAGGCCACAACTCAGACACTGTAACAGGCTATAAATAAGTGAGTTTTAAGCACAGTGGGGAAAACTCTGATATTTTCTGAGGAAACTTTAACTCGATTTGATAAAGTTTTAGTTAGAAAATCAACATTTTGAGGCATTCTGTGATGTCTGTGATCTCATGTCAAGATGGTATCCATCCAAGTGAATAGCAAACAATGAATGAAAACAATGAATACTGATTTTACTGTGAGTTCTGGGGCCAACATTAGATGAGTCAGGACTCCATAGCTCAACAATTTTGCTGAATGTGAGTCACAATTGGAAACGAGATTGTGTGAAAATGATAAGACTTAGTTACAAATTGACTAAGTTTTAACACAAAAATGAAAGAGCAGTGTTTGAAACATAAATCTAATCCAAAGTTTTATGATTGTGTTCTCAGTTTTAAAGTGAGTCAGCTCTGTAACTCAGATGTTAAATATCATGAAGCTCTAAACTTGGAGATGTTTTCCACCTGACTAAACGATATACATACATGTTTACTCCTTTTTATCAATGCGGAATTCACTCACAGAGGATACCTCTGATATTGACCATTGCAATTTCGTCTTTGAGACTGATGCCTCAGACTCGTGCAGGTTTTTTGTATGTGCATAATTTCGTACATGTTATACAGAGCATGTCCCCTGTGTTCAATAAAACAAAATGTATTTCCTGACCGATGGATGAACACCAGAGCCATGGCAGAGATACTTCTGTATTTAGTCAGTTTTTACATCATCTTGTCTTATGGAAAACTAGCTTGGACCATTATTGGTGACACAATAGGCACCAATAATTCATAGAGACAAATAAATGGGTAGGTAAGCATATGAGGAACCCGTTTTATCTAACATTTTGTCAAAAGACTTAATGATATTTATATATGCACTCTGTATATTTTTCCCAACTAGCATGCTACCAAAGTTAGCTAAATGGCAGTTTGAGAACAAATCTGGACCAGAAAAAAAGACTGAAGAAACAACACATTAATCAATGGGCTTTAATTTCAGACCCAGATAGCACAGTTATTCTGCAGAATACTTAGTTGAAATATTGTTTGTTGTTCAATCTTATGCCCTGTGAGATGCAACTTCCACATCTGGACTGATTCTGGAAGACACACACAATCCTCTACAGAAAGTGGAGGTTAAAAGCTGGAATCAGCCCAGATGACAGAGTGTTTAGGCCAAACTCAGGCCAATAAAGACCCAGATGTTTCAGTTTTTTTTTACTTGCTATCTGTGGGATTCTGTAGAAACAAGGCACACTTCCTGTCTGTTGCTCATAAACAGATAATATCTGTCATTTAGTAGCATTCCCCTGCACTTTCCTCCATGAGTCCTCTCACCTTCAACTCTGACGTTCCGTTTCCCTTATTATCTAATTCTTATACTTTCTTCCATCACAACATCTATTTGTTCTCTGAACATTGTACTGATGTAACGTGTTACGTTGTGCTAATGTTACAGGGCTGCCAGCCTCGTGTTATCTTTCATATAGCCATTGATGCAAGTGAGATATTCAATTCAGTCTCGTAAAACTTCTTCTCATAAACAACCAAACTTACACTTTGGAATGTTATTAATAACTGATCAATAAAAGCAGCCTCTTTTTCTAATGTGTTCATTTAAATGTATCTCATATTTCTATACTTGTGTAAATTAAATTATGATAATATGCTGTATATACAAATGGGACACTAGTGGAAATGTGTTGTTTTGATCAAATACAGTATATGTGTGCATATAGGTTTAGTAGAATTTTCTGAACTAATATTTCATTTTTATTAAAACAACATAAAGATAATTTTTTTTTCCCCCACTATAATTCAGTTTGACTTCATGCAGCTTCATGGTAACACACACATTGAGCGCCAGTGTGGCACATTACGCGTGGCATACATGTATCCTGAACCTGCCGCCCTCACTCACAGAAAGCTTTTGCTGGGGCGTTCCGGCGATATCATGGACCATTGAGAAATAAAAAACGAGTAACCGAACCCAGACTCTAATCCGACCGGGACAATCGCTGGCAGAGGCTGCACCTCTACAGAACTGGATCCAGGCAGACTGTGTCCCCATGCGGCTTTCCACGGGAGGAGAGACCACATCAGTGGAGCTCCTCCAACAGCAGGGCACTGGAACGACGTGGGAAACCCATCAGGATATGTAGAACGTTGGGTTGTCAGATTTCATTGATGTGAAGTGATTTAAGTGTGTAATTGGTTCAGGTTTTTTGAGGGTTGCCTTGGGAGTAATAAAGCTGGATTTTCACCCCCTCAAATAGTTGAGAAGAGCTTCATCAGCCTGTGAGGAAAGTTGAGGCAGCATTTCCCTGCACATAAAGTACAATACCAGAGAAACTCCACCCACTGCTGGGTGTCACACTCAGTCCAGACGTGTCAAGGAGCAAATCAACTCGGACACCAGCTGCGAGGCAGCGCACTGACTGTGGACGGGAGTTTTTCTGAGACAAAACATCCAGCTGAGAAAGTATTGAAGTTTTTAACTTTAATGCGTGTTTGTGATTTTAACGTATGTTATGGGTTTGTTAGGATACGTTTCTCCAGTGAGTATTGCCGTGGCGTAAAATTATAGCCGTGCGTAAAAGTTAGTTTTTCCTTTGGAGACCATGCGCAGCTTCTCTGAGCCGTGCCTCCCAGGCGCGTTGTCACAAGGTTTTCCAACAAGAGCCGGAGATGCGCCCCTTCGAGGGACTGTCCTGAGCGGACCCCCGCTGATCTCAGCCATGGCTTTATCCCCCCGAGGGTCTGCAGAGCCCCGCTTGGATCCGATGATTCACACGTCTCCGCCTGGCCAGTCTGCGATTTTTTGTCGGCCCCCAGAAATTCTGGAGGGAGGGGAGATGCAAGACGATCAGCCCAAAGTTTATTTGGAGGCCGGCGACCTTTGGAGACAATTCCACAAACGCGGCACTGAAATGATCATTACAAAATCCGGGAGGTAGAGTAAATGTATAATACCTACGCATGGATGAAACGCTACCGTGTTTTAATGAGTGCATGCTTCACGCCGTCATCTCTCCACCCTGCAGGCGCATGTTCCCGCCGCTCAGGACCAGGTGCATCGGGATGGACAGAAAGGCCAAATACATTCTGCTGATGGACATCGTGGCAGCCGATGACTGCAGGTACAAGTTTCATAACTCCCGCTGGATGGTGGCAGGGAAGGCGGACCCGGAGATGCCCAAACGCATGTACATCCACCCGGACAGCCCGGCCACGGGGGAGCAGTGGATGTCCAAAATTGTCAACTTCCACAAACTGAAACTGACCAACAACATATCTGACAAACACGGATTTGTAAGTTTGGATTTCATTTATCATTTTTTTATAGTAACGAAGATGAAACACAGTGACGCGTTTCAATCAATTAATGCGAACTCTATGTTTCCCAGGTTCTGTGATGTAT